TGCACTATAAATAGTTAATAACGGGTTAATATTTATGCACCAAATAATTGTGCAAACATATTTCTAAATTAAATAATGCTTTCTGTATCGATTTCTACCTGAAAATGATTTTTTATGAGCATACGCGTGCCCGGTATAAAAAATGCAGAGCGGCTTCCTATTTTTCATATTTTTTTTGTTTGCTCTCCTCTCATATAATAAGTTTCGTGATGCACCTGTTACCTGCATTCAGGCAATATATATATATATATATATATATATATATATATATATCAAAATATATCGAGACATTCTTCTTCTTCCACGTCGAGACAAAATCCAGTTCTGTTTCGCACAAAAAATAATAAAATTTAACAAAAAAAAATTGTACGAGTGCGCATAAATACATTTTTTATTCATATCGTAAAGTGTGACGTCAGAATATATCGTATTTATTTGAATTTAAGAGGCATACGAAGTTGATAAAGGGTATTGTGATATTCGAATAGTTAGATAATTTAATCTTGCCCAAATTTCACAAATACTTCAATCATATCGATCTATTAGTTCAAGAGCTATAAAATATTATTTGAAAATTAAAAAAAAAATATTTAAAAAAAGAGTACGAGATTTGCTACTGTACAAGATGGCATTTAAGTAAAACTAAATACATCATATAACCATTTTGAATAATGTTTATTAGTAATATGGTAACACTCGTGATGCACACATTTATTAGTGTCAACCATTATACACATTTATATAATGATAAATTATAAATTATATATTTAGAATAGGATTAAAATTATGTATAATATTTGAAAACAATAATGTAATTAAAGTCATACTTCAAATATGACATGATCGGTTCGTCATTAGAGAAATGAAGTAATTGCTGATTATTAAATTCTATAATATTTGTTCACACAGTGGATTATGTTAAAAAACTAACAAATAAAGAAATATTGTTTTCATAATTTCACTCATCATGCAATTGTGTATGAAGAACTTCAAGTAATTGAAATTAACATACATTAATTGACTGCTTGTATTTTTTTTACTTTTTTGCTGGCGATGTTCTTTGTTTTAATCTCATTCTTTGAACAGCTGTAATATCTGTCTTGCCTAAAACTATTTTCCATTTTAATAACTTCAAAGATTTATAGAAACTATGAATAATATAGAAATAATTTCTAATCAATAAACTTACGTTTAGTACACGGCCCAAATGTTTAATATGTTTTATTATTTTCAAGGAAGGGGGTAAAATATTCTTCTGATTCAGGCATTTTTCATTAAATCAAGATTTGTACTACAATGTAACTTTAAAATGTTTATTTATCTATGCCGATTTCTTTGTTGATATCGGTACGCACACAACGTTGATGCTGGTACGCATACAACGACAGATCTCTATTCACATACACGACGAACAATCACAATCGACCCGTGTAGAAATGATCTCATCGAGAGCAAATGACGAATCATTGGCACTCGACTCTTATCGTATCTTATCTGCCGTAACGCACTTTCGTTGCATTTGTACGGATTTACACCCTAGTCGCGCCTAAAGAAGTTTTACTTCAAAAATTATTTAACAAATTTTTGGTCACAAAGATTATACCTAAATAATTATCAGTAAAGTTGGAATAATGATTAATTTAATTTAACTCTTGCAAAATACCCAATATGCTTTTTCATGTACTAACATCTTATTATTTATACATTTACACTAGGTAAAGGTTGAGTGGTTTCTGTGTACCACATGTAAAGTTTTATAGATGCTAGATAAAAACTGTTTAATCTAAAATAGTTAGTTCTATCTTCTATAACTAACATCTAATAAAAAATATTTTGATGTATATCTATTAATTCAGAATAGCAAATTATAAAAATACAATTCTGAAGTCTTGTCTTCATTTTCTACTTATTTTCCCCCAGCTCTCCCTCTAGTGTGTATCCATACATACATATTTGTGGTGTTTGTGTTATATTTTCGACTTGCGCATTCCCGTTCGTTTCTTTGTATTAAGGGCAGGTGCAAAGCGTACAACAAGGACCACTTTCAAAACATAAAAATACATATAAGAAGGAAAGAAAGAAAAAAAGTGGTAGGTTATTTCATTGTTAGTTAGAGGTACAATTTGCACACTCTCAGGGGCCAGGGGAGGTCACGTGGATAGAGAGGCGTGTGCCGAGGATATTGGCTGTAAAAGGATTAAGGATAAAAGTATTGAGACGTTTGGATTTTTTGTTGTTTTTATTGTTCTCAGCCCGGCTGTACCGATTTTAATTTTTAAGAAATTTGTGCGCATTCATGCATTGTATACATTTTAAATCAATCAAACAAATTTTTTTCAGATCGATGGTTGATGAGTGAGAAATGGAGCAGTTTGAGACCTCCCGTCAGAGGCAGTCCACAAAAAGTTATCCTGAGCCGCCATTTAAAAAAAAAAAAAAAATAAAAAAATATTTTTTGTACACTAAAAGGGTTAAATAAAGTTGCGTTAAAGTTTAAAAACAATAAAATAATTCCATCACGTTTAAAAATATTTTTAAAATATGACCTATTTTTATGCGTCTATATGGACTTCCCCCCTTAATATTGATTAAGCTTCGCTTATAAACAAATGTATTAGTAAATAAAATGTTCAATAAATTTGTAAAAAATTAAATTGTCTATGATATACTTATATATCGTTTTGACCTCCTCTGTACCTCTGTCTACTTTAAAATTACTGCCTAAAATATATTTGAAATTGAAAAGAAAGCAGTAGAGCATGTATTTATTTATTATAACTTTTAACACGTTATTTGCCATGTCAGTCATATGTTTCAAACGTTGAGAAGTTCTACATGAGCCATGTCAGATATATGATTGACACGGCTCTTGAAAAAGAAACAGTTTTGTTTATGTAATAAAATAATTGATAAAGGACCACGTCAGTCATATACGTATGACACAAAAAACAGTGTTTTTCCAAGAATTATAGTTTTATTTTCATTCAATTTTATTCTGCAATCTGTATATATTATTACATTAAGCAGAAAGTGCTGACAAATATATAATAAAATGAAGTTGATTTCAAATTAGTAGATACCCCCAGTGGCCTATCTACTAGAGCTAATTAAAATATAATAATGAAAAAAGCTAAAAACAAAAGAAAAAAAAAATATTAAAATAAAAGATTATAATTATAGTTAATTATACTAGATCTCCAAATATTTTTTTTAAGGAATTATAAGAAAAAAAAATTGTTCTTTGATACATTTTTTAATAAATTATCTAATAAAGTTACCATGGCCCATGGGGATTTGTTCTGATATTATTGTGGCGATTAACGTGTTAAACGTCTCATTCAATATAAATGAAATATTTGATGAGTTTATAAAAAATGAAAAAATACATGAAGTTTTTAATGTGAGAATATAGCAAGCAACTCAATATACTTTGAAACAGTTTTCGATAGGATAAAGATGGATTTAGATTTAGATTTAATAGATATAAAATTCACAATTTTACAATTAAATAACAAAACAACCAAATATAAATCAATCAAGATATGAATCAATTATTTAACCTTTTTTAGATTTGGAACTACTCGATTAGTATGAATGAGGTATGAGAAGAAGTTACTTAAAATTAAATTATCTACGTTTCTTTAATACAATGGAATCCTACAGCAACTAGGAATATTTTAAAAATACGAAAATCAAAATTATGTGACACGCACTGAAGGCGCAATTATTTTTAGTAGCATTCGATTAATATGAATGTGGTATAATACAAAGTTATACATAATTAATAAATCTACAAATATCTACGACAGAATAAAGCGAAGTTCTCGAATATAACAATTGATTAGTGAGATGCATGGCATCGTGCCTTAAGAAAAATTGCTGAAACTTCCCATACCGTAATTAAAAATCTTGGTACGGAACACAAAAAACTTCACACAAAATGTGTACACATTATTAAAATCTCTATAAAATATCTGATAATTTGATGTTCATAAGTCCAATAAACATTTTTGACCGCCAAATGACATTTTTTTAACTTATTTTTATTGAGAGTCCATAAGCGCTGGACCTGCCTTCCGAAAAATTTAATCAGTTCGTCGTCTTGCCAATACAAGTAGAATGTTTTTTGAGTTATTAAAATGGGACGCTCCGTTCTCTTAATAACTGAGAAACCTGCCTTCGCCAAAAACTAATCAGCACGTCTCCTTATCAATACGAATCGAATGATTTTTGAATTATCCAAATCGGTTGATCGGTGTTCCCAAATCTTTGACGAAAATTTGAATCTACACACACACACACATACATGAATTTTTTATAAGGTATGCCAAAATGTTCGGAAACCTTTGAAAAGTGAAGATATATAAAAATGTTCATTTTCGATTTTTTTGCGATTACTATAACTTACCCCACGGAAAGTTAATAATAAGATCGAGTCTTATCGTAATCTTTTTAATTCCTCGGTTTTCATCCCCCCAACCCTCCAACTAACGTGCCCTTTGTGCCTGTATGAGTTTATTTCCAAAGGGAGTTGGAGTGGGAGTATTAGTGCGAGTCGGAGGTAATAATACCTACGTTTTCGTCCGTGGTCGCGCCAGTACGCTGTTGCACGTCGATCCGGTCGAACGTAACGCGAAAATTTTAATAAAAATCAATTTTAATTAATTAACCGATAATAAAAATTAATTAAATAAATTTTATTAAATTAATACAAGTGTCCAGTGACTTACTTATAATAAACAAACATGTGTTTAGTGATCAAAAATTAAAAATAACAAGAACAACAAAATCGCTACTACACCAAAAGTTCTTTATACCAGTGTCAGTAAAAAAATTTGTTTACAATGACCCTTAATCCTTTTATCCTACTTATCCTGTCGTCGGTGTTGATTCTCTCAATAAACTGTGGTGTTATAAGTAACGATGAATCGACCAATGATATCGTTCTATCCGATTTACAAAGGCAGGTGCAAGTTTTGACGAAACAGATGCATGTCCTGATGGGGAAACGACATCAGGAACTGAAGTTGTTGGAGACGAATTTGAAGAAGACCGTGGAGAAAAGTGAGGACTTGTTGGATTTGAGGAACGAAATCGAGGTTTTGAGGTGAGGATGAGGATTTAGAATGATTGTTTTCTTTTATAATATAATGGGTGAATTGTGTGGTTTTGTGGTTTATTACAAAATTGTGCAAAAGGGATGAAGTCGAGTTGGATTGACGCAGAAGTGTCAAAATAAATTATTTGTATTGTCAATATGATTGACGTCAGGTGCCAAAGTATTTGTAGTAGGGTGCATTATTTATACTATAAGTTTGTAATAAAAATATATAATTCTTTAAAGTCTCCTTCATAAAAATAATACTCACTTTTCCCGAAATCTCACGTTATCTGTTTTGTATCAAGTGAATTTTAAAACATTTACATGAATATAGAAACGCTGACTAAAACAGCTTTTTTGGACGCACCGTTTGTACCACAAGTGTAATTTTATATTAACAAACACTAAAGCCGATAAGTCTTCTTACAAAAGACTGAAAAGTGTTTCAAAACATGCATATATTTAAGGGGCTCTGCAGGGTATAGCCTTTTTGCAATTTACTTAGTCCTATCAAATAACATCCTCAAAGTATATATAATAACACTAAATCTGAAAAAATAAAATCTAACTTTTCTTGGAAAATTCTAAAATATTGAAGTTTTTTTTTTATAATTATTTCTGAATAGCCATCAAAACCTAATAGTCCTATAAGATAAAATATAGAAGTGTTGTCGAAATATATTTTACTTACTTAAAAATAAAAATAATTTACTTAAAAATAATAAAATAAAGATGTGTTAAAATATATGCATATAAAAATGCTAATTTAAGGAGTCGTTCTACAGGATGTAACTTTTATACATCAACCATGTAATTGGAGTACCTTAATCCTTCAAGCATTTGTACAGTGACAAATACTAAAATCGTTAAGTTTTCTCACAAAATTTTTAGTTATAAAATTTAGTGTCAAAATGAGTAAGATTTTTAAGGATTTAAGAAGTTCTACTATACAGGATGCACCATTTGAACTACAACTTTATAATTTGCATATTACTTCCAGAAGTGCCTATTTTAATGCCAATTACCAAAAACGATAATTTTCTTAACGATGTTTCAAGTTATTGATATAGATATTTTTCCCAAATTATCACATAGACGATGCCAACCAAATTTCTAAAAATATTACTCCATGTATTTCTTGAAGATAGCCGTAGACGTAAACATCAATATTACATACTAATTATAAATAAACATCTTTTGTATTGTTTATGTTGTTTTTCCATTCAATTTTAAACAAAGCTTGGACATAAAAGTAAAAAAAGGTGGAGACGCAGGAGATACTTTTAATTATATTCATCCTTGTTTACGACAGCATTCTCTGCCGGAAGAAAAAACATTGTGATTGTATCGCACGTCGTTTTGCCAGAGCAGTATTTTCTTCAAATTCAGCTCAACTTTTTTAAATCCTCCCTTCTGGTAAGAAAAAAAAATAGTATCATTCCTCCTAAAAAAATCTTTGGGGTTAATAGTAAATCGACAAAAAAGTGTTCCACCTCAAACTCTGCCCACGTAAAAAACGATTGCATCGGAGTTCGTTTTTCCTAGAGCAGTATTTTCCTCAAATTCTGCTCAACTTTTTTAAATCCTCCCTTCAGGTGTGCAAAGAAGATAAAAAATAGTATCATCCCTCCTAAGACTTTTTTTTTGAGTTAATATAAAATCGACAAAAACGCGTTTCACCTCTAAATCTGCCTAAGTGAAAAACATTGTGTTTGCATCGCACCTTGTTTTTACCAGAGCAGTATTCCCTTCCAATTCTGCCTATCTTTTTAAACTTTTCTTTCAGGAGCATAATGTAGATCAAAAATATGTCATCCCTCCTAAGGAAATCTTTGGAGTTAATATAAAATCGACTCAAAATTCTTCCACCTCAAATTTTGCCAAAGTATTTTACATCCTTCATCCCCGTGTGTGTGTGAAAAAGATCAAAGGAATATGATTTGCATATAGCATCCTCTCTTTATATTATTAATGTATGCAACGATGTGCATGTTGTTATGATGATATGCACTTTATTACGAATTTAAAGTTTAGAAAATGCAATTCGTTTGCGAAAAGCGAATACATGATAGAATTTCTTATGGATATGGAAATTTTGTGAAGTCGATTGAAGATGTATTACTTTATCTATTATATTTAATAGAAATACGGAAATATTGACGTTAAATGTATTTGAAACATATGTCACAATATCTGGAATTTAACTACAATTTTTAGTAATGAAAATTAATTTTACAGCTATATTATATAAAGAGTACCAGTAGGCAATTTTAGTAGCAATTCTTGGAAGATACTTTATAGATAAATAAGATACTTTAAAAGTTATAGTTTAGATACTGAAAAAATATGCTAATTGATATACTCATGTCGTAATTATATTATTAGTATCAATGTATGTCCCAGAACTTAACATCAAGCCAAACAGAATGATAATTTTGACCTTAACTATCCTGAAAAAAAATTAGGAAAAAATCTCACGTATGGAAAGTTAAAAGCTTTTAAGTGCAATCTAGAGCTTTGATGAAATTATGACCATTTTTCAATTATTGTGTTAATTTTTATTAACTTTGTTCATTACACTTTAGAACCATAGCCGTGAATAAGATTTCTAGGATAGACTAATAAAAATACTAATATAATTATCCCAAAAGTGAAGACTTTTTCTTGAACTAAGAACTTATTTTTTTTATAATCGGTCGACTTTGAGAGACCCTGCTTTGAAAAAAGTACTACTAAAGTGTATTGGCAAGTTTCATCAAAAGTTGGCTTATTTAATCAGTATTGTAAATTATGACAATTTTATTCGGCTATTTAATTATTATTAATTTTATTCTCTTAAACTTTAGAATAACATAACCGTAAATAACATTTTTAGGATCGTAGTCAAAAATAAAAACATAATTGTCCCAAAAGTTAAGACATTTTTTTTTAACTAAGAACTTAATTTTTTTATAACCTGTCGAATTTGAGAGGCCTTCATTTAAAAAAATGTAAAAAAATGTGTGTTGGCAAGTTTCATCAAAAGTTGGCTCTTCTCATCAGAATTGTAAAATGGTAAAATACTTGATACTTTTATAATTCACAAATTTCGAGTAAAAAATAATAAACCAAGAATGACAAAAAATTAGTTTATGTACTAATTTAATTAAAAGTAATAAACTAAATACTAAAAATGTACAAACTAGCATGAAACACGCATATGGATAATTTTATGAGCTATAAACTTGCCAAAAAACTTTCTATAAGTATATTAATTAGACTTAAAAAAATATGGCCTAAATACTGAAAAAATCTACTAATGAGCACTATACATTGTCTATAATCAATCAAGCTATACATTAATAAAAATTAATTTTACAATCATATAATCTATACTATAATTAGTGGTTTCCAACCTTTTTGCACCGCACCCCCTCCGCTCCAACAAAGAAAATTGTTGCTTAATTCGCCCTCAATTTTTTAATAAATTTAATTTTATAAATACTTAACTGATATTATCAGGCTACAAATTAATATTCAATATTATGTGAAAATATGCCTAAAAACTAATTATTTTTTGTTCATTTTTAAATATTATTTCATAATATAATAATTTTGGGTTATTTTCGAAAATAGTATTCTGGAAACAGGTGTGCTCCCTCGAGGGGCGCCCCACATGTTGAAAACCGCTATCGCTAAGAAAAGTTATAGACAATATTTAGATAATATATATATATGATATATAAATTATTAGCTACAAACTTCCCTAAGAAGCTTTATAAATAAATTAAATATTTTAGAAGTTATGGAATAAATATTGCAAAAATGCACTACTGAATGCTATAATTATATGTTGCCCAAATTTAACGCTAATCATCAAAATTCAAAATTAATTTCACACTTACAAAATTTAATACTTCACAAAATCGTAAGAGATAGTTTATAGACATAATATATTCTCTGTAAATTATTATAAAAGTATAATATTACTAGCCCTAGGTCTATTATTAGGTATTGTTTTGCCTAAAGTCCCAGATCCTTCCGTATCGTTTCACATATCAATTAATGATATCAAAACACGATACGAAAGCTTTTGTTGTAATACGAAAAGGGCGCTCCAGTAGAAACCGTTGGAGCACGATGGGGGCCAGTGGGTACCGGTGTAGAGCTCTAGTTACTCGGTTTTGGGAATTGAACTAAAAACCATGCTTATACTGATATATATCGCTGCAGAAATAGGAAATTTGAAAAATTAGAAAAATTATCATGGAACAATGTTGTAAGTTGAATATGTTATACTTTGATATGCCTTTAATTACATGAAGTGGTTAATTTATTATATTTATTGGCGTAGTATGAGATATTAATAATTTAATTACTATGACAAAAATCACTGATATATAAAGGCTACGACAAGGGGGTTTCAGTGGAGGTTTATATCGTTACGATCAATTTCCTCCCCCCAGCTCTCAGTCTATTTTCTGTTCAATCAAAACTGTTGAGCATGAATAGCCTAAAGATATCCAAGTAGTACTTTAGAAGGATACCAATTCATAGAGGAGCAAAACATATTCCGTTTGTTTTGTTTCAACAATGTACAACGTTTCAATTTCAAATTAGTAGAGGTAGTCGTAGTGGTATTTGTATACCACGAAAATACCACAGAACATATCTGCCACGAACTTTGAATAAACAGACAAGGATATGGTAAGGGAGACCAGGGGGAACGTACCAGATTGTAATTTATACAATATTAGGCTGAAAATGAGATATTTGGGATTGGTTGAAAATTAATTTCAATAGTAAATGGACTATTACTATTATAAAAATATCAAATAACAATAATCAAAATTTGAGTATTAAAGTTAGTTACAGTGGAATCCAACCTTTTTTGCTCGTATAAAAAACATTGTTGCGTCCCCATTAATTTTTGGAACAATTTAGTTTTATAAATAATTAACTGATATTTTCAGACTACTCATAAATATGCAATATTATAGAAAAATATTCATAAAAACTAATTACTT